GTTATGGAGGCCACACAGTGAAATAATTAAAGCAGTGAAATAATAGCACCATCCAATTGTTTGTATTACTCGATTTCAAACAAAAAAAAATTAGAATTATTGTTAAAATTATTTTTTCAAAGGACAAGCTCGGGACAAGCGGTAACCGGGTTACGTCCTGCACCACCCAGAGAGGCAGGTCCATCAACACATAATACCGTATTGCACAAGAATTCATTTTTACTGCAGAAAACGTAAAATAATTTCACTCACTGTAATTTTTGGATGTGCCGTTCTTCTGCGGGGGAGGGGGTGCCGTAAGTCAGTTCAGGTTACCAGTGGTCTACAGTAGTCGACTGTTCAATGCAAGAGTCGGCTAAGATACTTGTAATACAAAAACAAAACTCCGGATGCGAACTATACCAACCGAGCGACCGCCGCTTGTCGGCGAAGTCAGTGCCAACTTTAGCGGATAGAGGGTGTCGCGTGGTCAGCGCAACGAATCCCAACGGCCGTTAATTTCGGTTTTCTAGACCGGAACCGCTATTTCCTTGAAATAGCTCCTCAATTATCATCATGAGGCTGGTGAACCCCGTTCCAGACCCATTACTTCTCATAAAATCTAGTAGCGCCGAGAATCGAACCCGGACCTCTCGATCTGTAGCCAGAAACTCTGACCATTAGACCACAGACACCTCTGTTTAATTATATCGAAAACTACAAAACTTATGGAAATAATGTGCCGGACATAAAATGTGTTTTTTCCTGTACAGCATCTGTTCGCAACATTACTCTCTCACTTAAATACATGGCGAGAGACAAGGAAAGACGCATGTAGGTCTTCAAGTAAAGTTGTCGTTTAAATCTTCCGATGTAAATAAAAACTGAAACAATCTCACAATTTTGATAAAATTCTCCAGTACCAAATTTCATGAAAATCAGTGCAGATGCCCAGCAAATGATGCAATACATGAAAAATCACGTGCTTCGCTTTGGAATATTCTATAATGATGCAAGTGTAAAATATACACGTACGTGCCTATGGACACACAAATATAACGGAAACTCTTTTTAAAGAAATCCCCAATTCCTGATCACATTGCCGTTACGACGAATAGAGCACAAGTTGCATATAAGCCCCTTGGGATCAGGATCACAAGCCATGAAGTGTACATCCTAAGTACACGGCATTGTTGCACACTTCATTTCCTTCTCCTTCCTCCGTTCTGTTCCTCTATTACTGTCTCTTTTTTTTTATTTTCTCCGGTAGCTCATTAACTACTCACATTCGAGACACATTTTATCAACGTCCAATTTCTGGTATGAATGTTCCTGTTCAATGAAGTCCATTAAATAAAGCACAGAGAATAAAATTATTCATCAGAAGACAGTACATAGACGAGCACACTATTTCTGTTCAAATCCTGCTTCCCTTCTTTGTATTCAAGTTCGACAGCTTCCGTTTAGTGTAGCTAATTGGTCATTAGTTTTCAGTTTACATTCTCGGACCTTCAGGGGTTTTTCTAAGACGAAGGTTTTTTGTTTGGCAATGTCTTCTTTTGAGCATGTTTTACTCCATGTTCACAAAATTACCGGTTAAAGAAACTATTTGCTATTAAACATGCATTTCATTTCTAGCTTTTCCTTTGTACGGAGATTCTCATTGCAATAATTAGGCAGGTACATGAGGTCAAACATTTTTCGTGGGTTTATAAATGACGCTTTCTGTATCGAGATCATATGCCGTCAGATGATAGGGTGATACAGAAACTAAATGATATGGAAGGAAGCTGCCATGGACTAATAGAAGTATTATTCACGAATTTTAAGGGAAGGACTGGGAAAAACAGCGAAACAGTTCAGTCAGGGTAGCAGGTGTCCCAGTCGGGATTCAAACCTAGCATCTCTTCAATCAAAGTAGACCAATCTGTTCGGTAGTGAAACTTAATTCACTATTGTGGATGATTATAAACCAGTTATTATACGTACGTACGTACCACCTGATTTAATATACAGAACTCTGAACTGTTCCCACAGAGTGAATTTATGTGTTTCGTAAGACTGACACAACACACAGCAATAAAAGTAAAGTAAAGCTATCCTTGTAACAGGCCATGAAGGCCCACAGGGTTGTGAGACGTTGAGGGTCCCACATTATCTAAACAATCGGCTCAAAGATGGTGGTAAGGTTGTCAGCCCTACCCGCCGGCCGCGCTTTACTCCCCAGGAAAATTAATTAATTCCTGTACTCATTTCTGTTAGAGCAATTATTTCCCTAAATTGTATAACTGCTTGGTTTCTGTAGCAGGTGTGCAGTGGGTCTCCTAAGGTAGGAACTCAGTTTTTAGAGATTATTTAGAAGTATTCCAGCCTTTAAATTCAGCGGCACACATCAGTTCTAAATCAGTCGTCTAAAACATTGGAAAGCCTGCCTTAACCTGGACGAAACAGTAACGATACTGTTCACCCAATGTTCACAACGACGATGGCCTGAAAGATCTATTCAGTTCCTTGTCAAAGGTATCTTGCAATTACGTTTGATCGGAAACTCGTCTGGAATGAGCATATAAACAACATAGCCAACAAGACTTTGGCAAGAATTTCGGTACTGCAACTCCTCCTCGGAAACCACAGCAACCTCTCCACCGCTCTCAAACTCTTGGGCCTGCACACACAAATCGAAGCCACCAAAACTCCAGATGATGCAGAACAGATGCTTAAGAATGACTGGAAAATTTCGTAGAAAGAAAATTTAAAACTCTTAAAATCCAAATTTCTCAACTCTTAAATTGGACGAATACTTCCAGCTAGTGACAGTATGTATTTTTCATATGTACCATTCATTCCACCGTGATAAGACAGATGAGAGCGCAGTCTAATATTCAAAACTGTTAACATGCACAAGAAACTACGAGATATACTTCTGCAAATAAGATAAGTCAGTTTCCAAGAAAACAAGGCGCATGAGAACATAAAGTGCGGGGAAAACATACAAACCAAATAACAACAACACGATTTGTAGGTTTGGGCCCCTTAACATGCATCGTGTGATGTAAGAATATGCAAAAACGTCGTATATAATTAAACAACAGTGTCCCCTTCTTCCGACTGCCTCACGGAAACTGTGCTGACAACTTGCTGTTTCCCTATTCCCCCTGTGACGTGACAACCTGATCTCAGGATTAGTTCTACCGCCACCACTACTACCCCCAAGGTGTCGGGATAGTCAAGTATGGCTATAGCGACGGGCTACGGGCTGGACGGCCCGGGTTTGACTCTCGACAGTGTAGGATTTTTCTCTTCTCTACAGCCGACCCAGCCTCCTATCTAATCGGTACCGGGGGCTCTTTCCCCAGGGAGTAAAGAGGCCGGGGCGTGAGGCTGACCACCCACCTTCATCTAATGCCGAGGTTAAGATAGGAGGAGCTACACCTCCACTCTCCATAACTCTTCATGGCACAGTGCTTAAACAATTAATCACAGGGACAACTTTACATTACCTTAAGGTCTCCCCATGCTTCATTAAGCATAGAACCACGAAAATGTATGGGGGAGTGGAGTATAGCTCCACCATTCTTGCCCACGGCAATAGATGGAGGTGAGTGGTCAGCTTTAAGCCCCTGCCACTTTATCCCTGGGGAAAGAACCCCCAGTACTCAATGGATAGGAGGCTGGGTGGGCCTCAGAGCCGGTTTTGACTCTGTGAATAAGAAAAAGATCCCATGCACTTGTTGGGAATTGAATCCCGAATGTCCGGCTCATCGCTATACCGACTGAGATATAGCGGCTCATTATTATTATACAATATGAACGGGCTAGGGCAGAAGAATGGACCCTAGTTTCTTCATTCTTATTTGTTTGAAGCTTAACGCCGCCGTCAGCAACTCAAACGATCGATCGGACAGTAGTGAACAACGAAGTGGAGGGGCGCTCTGACAGTACCTGCATATGCCTAGACAACATGAGGTGCAACACAAAACACCTCGGTGTCCCAACCACGCACCTCGAGAATACAAGTCAGGAGCGGTGTCGCTTTAAGCAACATGCTCGATCGTATCGCAGCATCCGCGGGTCCGAAAAGTACGATAAAATGCCTGGACTGATTCTTGGTGGGTCAAATGGGCCACGCAGCTTGTTAGATCACCGACGACACCCCCAATCATTCCCTTATCAAAACCGGAAGGTTAAAATGGAGTGGTTAACGTGTGACTAGCAAGAGGCTCAACTGGGCCTACGTCAGTAGCATCCATACCTCGAGCGCAGTACATCACCCTCCAACCTCCGCCTGTATCAGCTTTCCGAACAAGAGTGAAATGAGGAACTTCTCCACTGCGTAATCTAACTGGGTTACATGTATTGAACTCTTCTGAAAAGGAAGAGTTCATGCCTATCTGCATAATGGAACCCGTTTTATATAATACCAAAAAAATAATGAAACTTCTTATTTATTTCCAGTTCACTGAACTTAACACCGTCAATACGAAAGACACCTTAAAAGAGACTGCAATTTTCAAAATTAAATATAAACCGCACTTTACGGAATAAAAGTACTTGTGTTATAGAAGAGCATAGCTTATTTCAACCATTAAAGTTGCTTTTCTTAGTGCGGGGGTTCGGCGAAAACCATTTACTTATAGATATAAATAAAGTTAGTTTCTTTCAACATCCTGTTCAGTGCCTTACTTCAGGGAGACATTTGCTTATGTGGGATATAAAGTAGTTTTCCTACCAGATACGTAATCTCTTGCTTCATTTGCACTGGCAGCTGTAATCGTATTATCTTCCAGACCGGCCGCGGATTTCAAGCAAACAGATGTGATTTAACCTGGCTAGAACGCAGTAACTTCCAAGTAGGTGTTTTCTGTCGGTCAGGCATAGCAATATTTTCTACTCAATAACCTTAACTCACACTATAATGTTCTGCTTTTCGGCAAATGAAAGAAAATAAGACATTTATATTCGGTCGTTATTTTACTAAACGGGGAATCTTAACATTCGTTACAAAGAACACATTTTCTTACCGTTGACAGGCTGATCCGGGATATCAGTTGACAGGTTCTTCATCTCAAGAATAGGTTTGACTGGGGCGCAAGAAGTTATCACATTGGAGGTCCGCTCACTGGGCAGAGATCCACTGAACACCAAGCCACAACCGTACACCAGCACTATTAACATGACCAACACGCACCCAATATCAGCCCCCATTGCAAATTATTTTATGTTAAAAAAACCAACTAAAAACTGACCACAACACTGTATAGTCTTTCGGGAACACGAGCCGCGTCGCAGGTTGGAAATGTCAACGATTGGATGTTTTATGTTAACACACTGCTTCACACGAACGAACTTCGTCAACCTTTGCAAACGCAAGACATAACCGGCCCAGCGACTGCACGACTGGCCCCTTGCCCGGCAGAAGAGCAAATGGTCTTCCCCCACCATTCTACTCAATTCCATGACGTCAGCACGACACGGTGATGCACGTATCTGGTGCCATCTATCGGCCAGCTTTTGTTCAGCTCACAGGTAGCTGATAAGGTAGGTGGATTTCCTTGTCGGCAAGACAGAGGCTGGTTCGCACTAGTTGCAATAGATGTCACTAGAGGTTGCGCCAGGTTAGTATTATATTCCCACGGGAAGAAAGAAGGCCCAATGATATAAGCAGTAGAAAAGCAATAAGTAAAACAAGACAACTGCTGAAGCGATTCTGCTCTGAGAGTAGGCTGCAAGGATTTAAATTTGTCTGCTATGTCCATCAAAGCTTGTGTTTAACCTCGCATATCTCATTCGGCGCCAAAACTCTCGGCTGTGAATACAGAATTCCTGAAAGAAATGATGTATTGAAACTAAGCGTGTCATAACCGTTTAAAAGAATCATTCGTTAGAACCTGTCCTGAAAATTTTAATTCAATCCAGATCACTCTTCCACGTTTATTTTCGTATTATAATACGCTCTAATACGAGTTACCTCGCCAAATTTTGTATGTGGTTGTGGTTTCACCTTTGCGAACTGCATGCATCAGGTGCACTCTGGGCAGGCAGTGTAGCGCTAGTGTTTAGACTAATACTCGGCAAATGCCTAGTTATAATGCCAGCGGGTTTACCGGCTCTTCAGACTCAAGTTTCTCGTGGTTTTCCTCGAGCTATCCAGGAGAATGGTCCGATAATACCTTCAGATAGATAAAGAAACCCGCTTTCTAAATATGTTCTTATTCGCCAGTATCATGTTCACACATCACTGGATTCCTCGACGCTCTTAATAAAGACTCGTTAAACAACCTAATAATCAATTACTAAAGCTCGTATTACCAGCCACCATTCCTGCTTTTGTCAGTACTTCAAATAAATACAAGAAAAAAACCATATGCCATATTTGCTAATCGATCATTTTAGAACAGAAAGCTAATTCTGAGTATAAAGGAAATGAAACGAGGAAGGCAGATTCGTTAGGTAATGACATGGGAGGATGCGGGAAGTCGCTACCGGAGCATCCTGAAATGTCCTGGTAAGATAAATAGAAGTGTAGCCGTTCGTTTTTCTTCAGTCCATCATACCAGTAATCTTCAATCCTACCTTAAATCTGAGCTCTCACGACTCTGGCTATGCAAACTTCAGGCTTCTGGCATGGATGACATATAATCTGGTAGGTCGTTACCGACGTTTCAGCAGGAACCTGCAGCCTCTTTCTTCAAAGTCGAAAAAGCCTCTTGTACCCTAAGGATGGGGACAGAAAGTTCCTGTAAAACTTGGGTGATTATGATCTGCCTGACTACGCCTTCTGGTTCCTGTCCCTGTGCTCACTGACAGATCGCTTAAGTCGCGGAACCATTCTGAATTAAGCAGTGTTTGGGATAGCGCAGTCGCTATAGCAACTGCTTGCTGGCTGGACTGCAAAGGAGTTAGAGTTCGAGTCCCAGCAGGGGCAGGATTTTCTCCTCTTCACGTCCTCCCGAACGGCTTTGGGGCCCTCTCAGCCTACTATTTAATGTCTATCGCTGGTTCTTTCTCTGGGGATAAAGCGATCGGGTCTTGAAACTGAGCACTAACGTCCAAATATTGCCGAAATCAAGAATTGTGGGGCTATACATCCACTGCCCCATATGTCTTCATGGCTTAGCGATTAATTGGTTAAGAACAGGAATAACTTTACTTTAGTCTTTCCCGTGCTTGAATGTTAGATCTACCTTCAATAAGATATTGCCACTTTTTGTATAACCATCTTGCCTTATGGTTTATAACCATCTTACCGTTTCTTATACGGAGATAAGTGGCATGTATGGTTGTTAACATTGTTGTTAAACGAACAAATGAACACAGATGATCCCACCCACTGCAATTGCCTGCTAATAATTTTTTGAAGCACAAAGAAGGGCAGAGAGTGAGGTCGGGGGAATATTAAGCCCACGATCTGGTACACCAGCTTCATGACGAAAGTTGCCCAACACCTGAGCAGCACTCACTGAACTGAGTGTTCAAGGAACGACTTCTTTCTTTAACATTATTAGAGGTGAGCAGGGCATGTAGCACGAATGGGGGAGAAGAGGAAAGCATATAGGATATTGGTGGGGAATCCAGAAATCCACTGGGAAGACCAAGGCGTAGGTGGGTGAAAAATATTAAAATGGATCTTAGAGATATAGAATGGTATGGATTAGATTGATCTGGCTCAGGATAGGGACCAGTGGAATGCTCTTGTGAACATGGTAATGAACCTTCGGGTTCCATAAAATGCTGGGAAATTCATGAGTCGCTGCAGATTTGGCTTCTCCTCAAGAAAGGCTCATCTCCATAAATAAGCAAGTAAGAAAGTAGGGTTTGTCAATATTTGCAGAAAGGGCAGAATACTTTTGATTTCCTGACTATTTCTTCTAAACAGTAATTAAAAATTTGATTCCAAGTCTTCATTTTAAGGAACAGTTGACTGATGCACTTTAGGGAAATAATCGCTGTTTATTCTGAGAATCACAAGGAACATACTCGTACATAAACTCTGTGGGCAAAATTAGAAGCTTTTTAATGTTAAGCAAGTGTTGTATACAGCAGTCACTGTTCTTAAGACAGTTAAATAGACATAATCATGACAAAGTTAATGATCTGCCACTAGATCATTCTAGCAAACCGAAAATAGGACTGCATACGAACTAGCAGGATGAGGAGCTTACGAAGTGCGTAGATGCGAGAAGAGTCGTCCTTGAAAACTAATCAGCTGTTCTGACAGTTCCCTGCTGTTTCGGAAAAACAGAACCCAGCATAATATATAATTATGAATATTCATTGTCGAATATTGTGTTGTGGTTTTTCGATTTTAATGTCATATAAAACACTGACCTTTTCAAGACACAGCCTTCATTCGGTTGAACATACGTCCACCCTCAGCGGTACAGTCCCTCTTAAAAGTTACGCTGAATTTGTGTCCTCAGTTTGCCCCAGAGTATTGCTTCGTTCCCTTCTCGCTCAAAGTAATTGTTGTTGTTGTTGTTGTTGTTGTTGTTAGTATGAAAGAAAATCGTGTTTATAGTCTTTTAACACAACCGGCTGTTTTGTTTTGCTTTTGATTGGGTTCCGCAGAGTTCATTTTGCTTGATATACGAATCATTTGTTATCGTTAGCTTTACATCGACAGCGCCTGCTGTAGGGCTGTCTAGTGTCCCTTTCAGTGCCGCTTGTCGGAATGTTACAGTTCCTATAACGGAACCGCTTAATGTGGACCCAAGAGATTAGGGAAAGAGGCCTTACCGGCTCCAAAGATATGTCACCACACATTTTGCCATGAACTTTACATTACAAACTTTTCATTTCATTCAGACACGCTAATTTCAAATCTGGACTTTGCATCATGTCATGCGCTTTTGTATTGAATTCTGAGCGAAAACAGAGCGTTCTCTCCACTTTCGTGTTTGTGTTGCCGTTCGTATAAGTAACAATGTAAAGTTGTCCTTATGCTTAACTAATTAAGCACTACACCACGGTGGCGTATGGGGGAGTGGAGGTATCGATCCACATTTTCTTGAACCCGGTACTAGCTGGAGGTGAGTAGTCAGCTTCACGCCCTGGCCGCTTTACCCCCCGGTACCCATTGAATAATAGGTTGGGTGCATCACAGAGCCGGTCTGGATGACGTGGAGAAAATTCTTGTCAATGCCGGGACTCGAACCCCGACCCGACGGTCGTCCAGCCCGTAGCTGGTCGCTACACTGGCTCCTGTTCTATCAGAATATTACCTTGCATTACTGTACACAAGCTTATTATCATTTAAATAACGTTATTATTTCCACCAGCGTAATAAGTGCATATTCGTGTATCTAGCATACAAAAACAGATAATAACAGAGAACTGCGTGTGTGTTACAAATTATTACTGCCATTTTTGTGATCAGCTCATCCGACTCACAAACAGCTTCTTTTGTATATGCTGTCGAAGGAAAAAAAAAAAAAAGCAAATTTGGTTGTGCTGTGCTATTTGTAATCCTGCTGTGGTCTGGGTCCTGTCACGCGAAAACACATGCCGTTTACCGACGAGTGAGTCATAAAGGGCAGACAACCTGTTCCCTTGCTGAGCCTCTGCTATCAAGGTAGCTACGGTAGCTACTATCCCCAGACGAAGGTGCCGTTACACCAGCCCTGGCTACTCGCTGCTGCTTCGTTCCCAAGCCTGGTGTTGCGTAATGAACAAAGTACTGTTGTGATATCTTTGCTGCACCTCACAGTTGTCATGGGTTTTCTGACGCATGCGCAATGTAAACTCCACAGCATATACCGTGCATCCTATCACTGAGGCATAACGGAAACAGGAGCTTTGCCCCACGGCTGCAAATTAAGAGACCGCCAATGCAAAAAGAAAGGAATTGCACGTCTAGCAAACCAGGAAGAGCATGCTGGGCCTCGCGGCCGTATGAAACGAGTTGTGTTTCTTCACACGACAGTCTTCGTACAAACATGAGCAGAGGTCGCAGTTGAGGGTTTTGTATTCAGGGGATCTCGGACCGACACTCGAACCATGAGATCGCTTCGCCTGACATTTTCCATGGCTGTCCTCATTCGTTCAAGAAATGTTAGAATATCACAATCAAATATACCCCGACCGATTCCTTCACAATTAACCGTTAACATGCTCTTCCTTCCTCTCATGCAACCCTACTTATCCGACACAGTTGGGAACACGTGAAACAAACCGTAGTGAACCCACAGAAACCTCAGATTACGAAACAATAGAAATCTTTCTCTGAGCTCAGTCGGTATAGCGACTATGCTACGGCGGCTCTTTCCCGGAGATAAAGCGACTGGGACATGAAACTAACCACTCACCTCCGTCTAGTGCTGAGATCAATGATGGTGGAGCTGTACCTCCACTCCCCCATATACCTCCATGGCGAGGTGCTTAATTAATTGGGAACAGGGACAACT